CCCCCCCCCCCCAAGTCTGTAAGCAGCCTCAATGGATTAGGCTGTAATGTAAGTTGTCATAATTTCCAATTTAATAATACAGTTAGAAATTAAAAAAACATTTCTCCCTTTATTCCAAGGTTAAAACAATTACATATTGCAATGAGTAAATATATTATTGTCTGTGGAACAAATGTTAGTATTTACCGCATCCCCAAACATAAGCACATTTAATTTATGCTGTTCAGGAAAAATAAAAAGCCTTTTACCTTAATTACCTTTCTTTTTTTCTTTAATAAATGGATAAAAAACAGGAAAAAAAAAAGAATGAGATCTAATAAACTTGAAAGACACAGATTTTCAAACAGAAATAAAGGCATCTAAAAAGATACAGATAGATGCCAGTCAGGTTTTCAGAAGCAGCTAAAGCAGGTGAGGAGACTTAGGCCCTGACATGTTACATTTAAGATATGATTAGAGAGTTAACTGCAGCATAAATAGTAATCCTTCTACATGCTAATGCCAATTTATGGTGTGATAGTACAGCAAACAAGCCAAACATATTCCACAAACAAAGTGTAACATCTTCATAGCTTGTGTGCATCACGCCTTAAATTGACTATGTGGCATAACAGGGCTGATCCATGACAACTCGATGCTCATTTGAGCAAAGGGATCCACTATGGGGCAGCCCCAGAGTCTGGGCCACAGTTGACCCTTACCTGATCAGTGTGATCAGGCTGGGGCCAGCATTAGGTTCTGGACCCAGCACCCCTCTTCAATCCCTGGAGGCAGAGAGCAGGTGGGGGTGCCATGAGCCTGACATCAGGGAGTGGGTATACAGCTGGGAGCTGCCACTTAATAGGGCAGGGTACAGGCAACTGGAGAGCCAGGAAGGCCCAGCTCCCCATGTCTTGACTAACAAATCCTGGCACACAGAACTTTAAAATACACCTCCCCCTGCAAAAAAACCGCCCAAAAACCCAACAATACATGCTTGCAGAGGGACTGCAGCTGTGCTTTTTAAAACTCCCCAGATGTTCAGCCTCAGACGGTGAGAGAGGTTGAATAACCACTATGACACCCTAGGTGCTGAGGAGGTTTTCTTGTTGGGAATTTAAAACCTTTTGTCCAGCAGCTCTTGCTAGGCTGCTTGGGCACGGAGGATCCAAGGCTCCCAGCTTTCTCCACTCTTCCCCCAGCAAAATGTCTCCGATTCCCTGTGCTAGGCAGCCTGGCCAGAGCTGCTGGGCATGGGGTTTGGACAATCAGCTGATTGTCAGTCCAACCCAGACAATCCCAGTTTTGAGCTGCACCTGGGGCTTTTCCAGCCAGGGCTGACAATCAGCTGATTGTCAGCTCTGACCCCAGACTGCAATTCAAGTCTCCGATGTTGACTCCAGCATGCAGAACCACAGTCAGCTGACTGTTGGTCCTAGCTGGACCTTTCAACTTGCTAGGACATAATCTTGGGCTTCCCCTGCACCAGCAAGTAGTAATGGTGCTATTTGAATTGAATCCCATTGCGCCATTAAATGAATGCGCATGAGGGGTCTAACATTCATTGAGTGAGAGTCAGGCATCTAACCTACTTTGGGCATTGTTGTAAAATTTTACAAGCACTTATGCTCATCTTCAGACACCTCAATACTTTCTAAAGTTTGGCTTAGGAGGATTAGAAATATCTGTCAGATCACACAGGCTATCTGTTTGTGTCAGTTTTAAATACAAATGCTGATCATTCACTTTTTACCTAAGAAATCAGGCACATTTAAAGATAGCTTAATGAAAAAATACTTAAGATAATTCTGCTTCTGTGCATCTTTAAAGATGTCCTTTTCAAGTTGGAGGCGGGGAAGAAGAAAGAGAATCCCACCTAATCCAGTCCCTTACCTCAGGATTATTTCTATGGTTTAACCTTGGACTGGTTTACGTAAAAGGAATAGATAGTACAGGGACTGAAACCCAGGATCCTGTCCCAGGGAAGTGCCCTAATCACTAGGCTACAGAGTCAGACTCCTCCTTGCTTATTCTCCTTCTAGCCTCATAAATTTGCATCCTTTAAAACTGACTCACTGCAGAAACAGAAGAGGTGAAGTGTGCAGTAAACCAATCTATACTATATCCTGGCAATGCCAGCATTATCCAGAGGTTAAAAGTGTGGGTTTGAACCCACACCCCTCCCTCAGATGAGGGGGGCCTATGCAAATGCTATAACCACTGGGAAATAAAATATAGCTTATTATAAGGTAGGCACCACTTCCAGCTGTGTTCAGTTCCTTGTAAGAACATTAGTAGGCTGAATCCTCTCAGGGTAGGTTTCTAAGCAGATAGAGCCGTTGCTCCTGTAGTCTTGACACCTGCAGCTCCAAGAAGTGGTGGGACTTCAGACAATTCCATGCCTGCAGCTTCCTACTGACTAGTTCTAAATGACTCCCTTGAGGTACTCAGCTTTTCCAGCTGATTGTATAAGGATCCTACATGATTAACTCCTGTTTTTAGATTTCACTGCATAACTAAACATGTAAAATTCAGTACTGCAGTAGGCATTGGATCTGGCTCAAGGTAGTACTCTAAATAGAATAAAGGCTATATTTAGCTGCAAACCTACATGTTTTAGTCACATCAACTGATTAGACCAATTCTTTCCTTAGGAAAAGAAGTTCAAAAGGAAAAAGTACATTAAAATCAATCACTTAAGTGAACATCAGGAAGCCTTAATTTAAGTCACAAAAATGAGTGGTTTTGATTCATTCTACCTTGATGTAGAATAGCTAAAATATATGCATTACATATTAATATAAAAAAAAAAAGTCATGATGGACTATTCAGTCTAGCAACACTAACAAAGTTCACAGACTACAGGAAGCAAGGAGTTGACTGAAGTCAAACATCCCTTTAGGTCTCTTAACTTCAACTACCTCTCCCCTCCCCCCGCAAACAGCAGGATGCTCCTAATCCTCAATGTTCAGCCTTTGATGATTTACACGATGTTGGTGTGGTTAGCACCAGTTACAATTAATTTAGGTCTCTATACAACTGTGAGTTAGTTTTGTTGCTAAGAAGTTTGGAAGCCTGCTAATGGGATTTTTTTTGTTATTGTAGTAGTAATAATATTGTAACTTCTATTAATAACCTTACCTACTACAACCAAACAATAGGAAGTTAATTGCTTTAAAATCAGTTATGCTGTTTACTTTCTCCATTTCATTCAATTCTGAACAGCAAGAGCCTAATTTTCAGGCCTGGTTGCACCCATTTTTGGAAGTCAGGCCCTGAAATCAGTCCAAATTATCAATACTCTAATGTCTGTTGTAAATACTACAGATAATTAATTTTGCAAACTTTTCCCATCATATAAGCATTTATATTATTTTCTGGCAACTAGAATTTACCCCCAAAGCAGTGTCAACATTACAGCTAATGACTACTTTTAAAGGAAGTGCTAAAAAACCCCCCAAAAAACAAAAAACACAACCTTATTGTGCACCAATCTGTTACTTAGAGACATCTTTTCTCTAGTCATTAAAATAGCCTTAAAAAGTAGTGCTTTGATGATTACTGTAAAAAAGACAATGTTTACTGATATTGGAACCCAATTCTGAGGCTCGCAATATACACTGTGCCTGTCTCTGCACTATGTTAAACTCATTTAAACTCGGAAAAAAAGTTCTCTAGTGGCACAATATCTGTAGGAACAAGCAACTGATCTACCCTATCTATAAATGCATGCAAAGAGCTGGATATTAGAAGCAGGAAATTGCAAAGAAAAAAAAGTAAAGAAAGAAGATCAGGTCACCTGTCACCAAAACCTATGTTGGTGGGGAACTAATATCACTACAGAAGAAACACGGAGAGAAAAAAACTTCAAATTAAAAAGCTCATCTACTTACATTTTGTTTGCCTGAAGAGATTTATTAATAAGTGTCATTGTATAGTCTTCATTCAAACACATGGTATGTTCACTAATGCCAAAATGTTCAAGCTTTGGAGTTAAATGCTCACAACCATCCATCTTTAATGTACACTTGGGTGTTATGGGTGGCATATAAGGCATCTGTTTTGGGGCCGGAGTTGTATTATTTCTTGAATCTTCTTTATGCATATTTGTCTGGGGTTGTATGTTCATTGCATTCCACGTTCTGGAGAAAGCATATTGTGAAAGACCAAAATCTGACAGATGTGGGCTTCGTAGAGGATCCTGAGGTACAGGTGGTTTTTCAATGCAAGCAGGAATGCCAGGCTTGTTCTCTTCTTGATCAGAATTATTCTGATCAGATACCTCAGATTCATGGTTAACTTCCTTGTCTTCCTCCTTCACTGTTTTATTATAGACAGAGGATGTGACAAACGTCAGTGTACCATCGAAAAACTGTCTGAGACTGAAAACAGTTAAGACTGTTTTCCAAATCCACTGCTGAGTACAATATGAAAGACTGGCCCTTTCATCTTACTCCTAATAATGTTGAACCTGGAATCAGATTTACTAGTGCATAGGCCCATATACACAAGGGTTGCTCGTAAAAAACTGAAACCCTGTTAAAAGGAATCCAAAAAATAATTTCTTTATTGAAATAAAGTATATGGGGAATAAGATCTGAAAGCTAATAAACAAACAAATTTGCATGAAAATGTAAGGCTAAGTAGTAGCAGAAAGCCTTATTTGTTGTTAAATAAAAAGTAGTTCTTATAAAAGCAAAATATTAACTTATTACTTAAGGGTGCACTGATAGAGACTTTTTTGGGCCAATACCAATGGCTGATTTTTAATGAACCATATTGGCTGATACCGATCCGATTGCTGATATGCAGCCGGTAAGTTTGGAGAGCAGTACTGGGCTGGTAAGTCTGTTGTGGTTGAAGGAAGGGGTGTGGGCAGATTGAGGCCTCCACAGTGAGGATCAAGTAGAGCTGGGGCAGGCAGCTCGTCTGGGAGGTGCAGGGAGGTGGCAGCTCCCACCACTGTACACACCCAGGGAGGGCATGGGGGGCATGTGCCCCCGGATCTGTATGTGGGGTGAGGGTGGGCTACACTCAGGGAAGGTGGCAGCGGCACTGGGAGGAGAGGTTGGTGGGGGCTATAATTTTGGGGTGGCTGAAGTCCCCTGCCTAGTGCTGTCACTGCCTGCCCTGAACATAACCCGGCCCAGCCCCCTACTGTGAAGAGCCCCCCCTTGCCCCACATACAGATCTGGGGGCATACACCTCGCCCTGCCCTCCTGGGCTGGATGCAGTGGTGGAAGCCATGCCCCGCCCCAGCTGCTTGCAGCTGTCCCATCCTGTCTGTGCAGCACCTACCGCTGCCCCAGACCCACTCCTTCCCTCACTGTGGGGACCTTGATCCGCTCCCCTCATGCCCCTTCCCTCACAGCTTACCAGCCTGACCTGGCTGCTTTCCACACTGCTGGGCTGTGCTCCTGACCACCTGTGTGCTGTGCTGCAGCTGCGTGCATGCATAGGGCACTTATCAGGGACATTAATCAGCCACATAAGCCAAAAAAAGCTGATTGCTGATACTGTCAATTTTCCTTATATCAGTGCTGATCCAATATGGGACCGATGTATTGGTGCACCTCCAGTTAACAACTATACAAAAAATGCACGTTGGAAACAAAATTTCTTTCCAGTTCTGGGAATAAACTCTCTTCTTTTTTTGGGTTAAAGAGAAGGTTAATGCCAGTAGGACTCTCTTGAAAGCTACCCTCACCACTTAAAAGGTATGTGTACAAATCATATATAAACTATATCACAAAATGATCATGGGAACAGAAATTCATTATTTAAGTGGATGCTAAGTGACAGCGATTTAACACAGACAGTGGCTGCACACTCCATTTGTTAACCTCTGCATTTCACAGGTGTTAACAATCCCCCTGAATGATCTTGTTCTTCCATTAGCATGTTTTTACTGCATCTCTTCTGCCTGCCAGATAATTGCTTATGTTTTATTTACATATGGGGTTTTACATAAAACCTGGCTCCATCTGCTACCTGGTTCTGCTGTGTCTGCTTCTCTTCCAGCGGCCCGAGGAATGGTAGTGTGATACCTGAAAACTTGCTTATGTCTCTCAACCATGTAGGTGGTTCAAGAAAAGGTGATCTCACTCACAAGAGTTCTTAACCAATTATATGATTTCGAACCAGGTTTGTTAGACACTGCATATATATTTACAGCAGACACTCATGAACAAGTTACCTTGAGGCAAACGATGGTCCACGATAACTACCTGAGTGCTTGCTCTTAACCTCTGGTAGCTTTTTCCTCCAAGAAAGCAATAATCTACTGAAAGTTGGCTTTAGATTAATACTCCTACCTTGGAATAAGAGTGAGAACACAGGCACTTATCATGGATCACTCTTTTTTTTTGTCACTGACTTATTTGAGCACTCGTACTCTTGTTTTGGTATAGTTTAGAGCCTTAGATCAAGGAACCATTTTAAGCTAAATTGAAAAGAATACTCCTTCTGAAATTTTCACAAGGATCTGAGCAAGCTTAAAGTGAAGGAGTGCTACTTCTTGCCTATACAAAGCCTAAACTTGGCTAAGAGTTGAGTCCAAAAATGTGTTAACCAAGATGTTTTAAGAACGTTGCTGTTAAGTGACCATAAAGCACTCATTATCTTTTTCTAATATTGAGTTTAAGAAAAACCCAAACAAAACAAGCTAATCTAGCTCTAGAACTGCTGGGTTTTTTGTCTGGGTTTAGAGCAGGCAGCAGAAGACCCTTTGAATATTAATGTAAAACTATTACTGTGGTACACGTGTACAAATAAAAGATCAAGGTCTGCAATGTTATGCTTATTATTGTGATACATGTCTAATGTGTTCACACAACCCAGTTAGATTACACACACTTTCAGGGATTTATAAACAGGTGAAGTGATAGGAATTCACAGAAATAAGAACTAGCCTAAGCTTACATTATATTAAAGAACAGGTCAGATGTAGTATGGACTAGCTATAAAATGTAGATACATATACTATAAAGTTCAAGCTTCAGCAAATCACGTTCCCTCAAATGTTTCTTTTCAAGAAGCATTACCTGAGTTATCCCTGACAAGTGGTTTATAACCATATTTCTGGAAGAGTTCTCTTATTTTTCCAAGATCAGATGCATTTCTTTGCAGCAGCACTTTGCTGGCCTTTATGAAGTCATACATTTCTTCTCTTTCACAGCAACTCTTTTCAAGGGTAGCTCTAACATCCCCCTTTGAAAAGAAAAAAGGATAGACAGGTTTTTATATACCACTAACGCCTTGTGTGTATATAGAGTTATGTCCAGTGAGATACAGTCCTGACTAACAAAGTAGATTAATCTTAAAAACAAACAAACTAAAGCAACACTTGTTCTGGTATAAGTGTCTACACATGGATTTATTCATAAATACCTGTGGCACTTTAGAGTCCTAATATAAAGTAAACACCTAACTTATACATAACAAGAACATAGGCAACTTTTCCTTTCTTTTGTTAATGGATCAGCAAGGAGTATAATGACATTTAAGTGAATGGGTAAAAGCAATGAACCTTCAAGAAAAGGCTTTCCTTATTCAAAATAGTAGTCACAAAATAAAGATGTGTATAGTAAGAAAAAAGAAAAAAAACCCTGAAATTTTAAGCAGTTTTACTAAACATCTTGTTCCTTCTGAACACTGGTCACCAGCTGAAATTTGGTAGGCAGACTTTTTTTTTTTTCTTAAAACAAACATCAGTAATAATAAAAAAAAAAACATGGGACACCACTCAATAAGGTAGAGAAGCACAATCCTGAGTAGCAGACCTGGTGCAATGTAAGCATATATTATAAAAAGTAGAAGTGACATCTATTAAAGGTAAGTTACTGACAATTAGTTATATGACAATACAATTGAAATTTAACAATATTAAAATAATCAGTTCCATAGGGACTCATCACCAATGCAGCTACTCTTTTCAGTATTTAGAAACGGTTTCTAATTCTGAAAAGAAGAATCACCACGCTAGATAATACCTGTTGTTCATCAATAGCCTAAATATCACAAGATGTTTGAGAACATGAAACATCTCTCATTATGCAGCTATGAATCCTACATTAGGCCTCTTCCTAACACCAACAAAAAAACTGGGTTGTGACCATCAGCTAGAGATGTAACATTAATGCCAGCACACATTTTGAATTCTGACAGTTATTTAGAATTGTTACCCACACAAATGTCCAAACCCTTTTAAAACTGGTTTGGTTTCAGTGACATAATGCAGCAAAGAAGGCAACTGCCTAACTGCACACTGCATGAAAATATTGGTTTACCGATTTTGGATTTGTCAGCTTATACATTAAAATTTATTCCCTGTGTCACTGTGCTGAAGTTGGGAGAACAACCCCCCATGTCTGGTTAAACAATTATACAGGTTTCCCTTGCTGCATGCAGGTTCTGTATGTGCAAATTCGCTTTTATGTGAGGATCATTTTTATAACAAGAGTGAATTTACCTTGCAGGTACCAAAATTTATGTGATCGGACTGGTGGAAGCCTGCAGTCAGCTGCTTTCTGTGGTGCACTGTGGAAGTGATGTGCATCCAAATATAGTCTCCTGTGTGGATCTGTTCTCGCTTGCTGTCTGTGACACGTGTTTCTGTAGTTGCCATCCCCATTATTGCTTCTAAGCATCCCACTAGCTTATCTCCTACCCCTCTTCCTGGTCCATCAATGAAGCGCAAGAGTAGTTCACTAACGCTGGAGACAAAACTGGAGATTTTGAACCGTGCAGAAGCACCACCCTGTGCTTATGTGCACTGTCTGCTGTTGGCGAGTACCAAAATTGTCTTGTAAAAAGTGGTAGAAATGGGTCTGGGAGTCAGTACAGTCAAGGTCTTGGAACGTACCCCTATTTGCTGCATTGTAAAGTGGGTTCCCTTTATGCAAATTCAAGTTATGCACTGTTTTCCAGGAACGTATGTACAGCATAAAGGAAAGGAAATCTCTATTATACATATTTTCATCATGTTCCCTCTTATTCTTTGTGAAGACAAACAATTGCGGTCTTCTTGCACCATACTTGACAAAGCCACAAAAAGCAAGTAAAGACTTCAACCATCCAAAAGGCTCTCACACTCTATGGGTAGGACAGACATTATGTTTCTAGTGGGAGAAATGCTACTCTCCCACTAGGAACTGGGCATACACGTGCATTAGTGAAGTTTTTCCCCTCGGGAAACATGCCGATTCCAGGAGAAAGATAATCTTTCAGCCAGGAAGATCTCTCTCTCCTGCAGCAGACTCACTTATATAGGAAATAAATACTAAACACAATTCCCTTGTTTGGCTCCACCCAGGGACTGGGAAGAATTCAATGCATGCCCATACGTTTATCAGATTAGGGTGACCCCAGTCTAGGGAAGACAGGGGAGCAGCGAGGAAAATGCTCTCTGCATGTTTCCCAAACTGGGTTGATCCCAGTCTGAGAAGTGTGCAGGAAAACAGCAGAGAAAGGTTCCCTTAGTGTTCCCCATATTCGGCTGAATCTGGTCTGAGGGATGCAGGAGGAACACCAGCCACTCAACTCCTCCCTGGTCCCCGCCAGCTGCTCCCCTGCCTTGGGTCATTCCAGTCAGTGAACACAGGGGAGCAGGAGAGAGGGAGCAGCTACAGGCTGGAACGTCTGTATGCTCCCCTCCCCTCTCCCACTAGGATTTTTAGTGCTGCAAATTCCTCAAAATCTTCAGTAGTAGACATGAAAGCCTGTACAAATGAAGGCCTATGTCTCCAGCCTAACCTAAACGTAACCGCCATAAACTGTGAACTATGTACAACCGTAACACTGTCCTTCTAGGCATGCCAGCCTTCCATCACCTTTACTAAACTATCCACTTCCAACGCAGCATCCTTCTACCACTACTATCCACAACTAATAGAATTGGGAGTACTTGATTTAAGGGTTGTATGGCTCATCATGGGTTGAGAAAGGCAGGCGGTCCATGTCATTGCTCACAGGGCAGATTATAAGAAGGACTTCACATAAGGCTCCAGGATTGCATTCTGCCCTTTCTCCCAGTGTTCTGTCTAGAATGTGCTAATCACAGGCACCTCATGGATTGTGGTTAAGGGAGTGCAATTTGGAGAGGTGACACTAATAAATAAAAGAGAACATTAGGAATTTTTACAGACTAATGGTATCTTCCTGCTTCCACTGCATGCATGAGGAAAAAAGCAAAAGCCCCAAACCCAGGGCCAGACTAATTTAACAGGTTTAGGTTCCAAACGCTTTAAAAGTACAAGCTTCAATAATTCATTAGAGCAGACCCTTAAACATTGGTAAGTATAAATACAAATTTAAAATATGGAAAAGTTTTATGTAGTTCACTGTAAAATATGATAAAATATATTTACTTGGAATAATGCTCTCTTAGAAACCCTTCCATATTACAGCCTACTCCCTAAGATTTTTTTTTAATATATGTTAGTCTACAGACACACACACACACAAACACACATACACACACACACACTACTTGAACACAGTCAACAAAATATCCATATACCAAGATGACAGGAAAATATTTTCAGTGTGACGTCTTTATTTTAAAACCACACCCTGGAAGGTTGAAGTTGAAATTGGATTCCTCTCATGTGCACCAACTGGCATAAGGCACTCAAGTGGCTGACATCAACTTTATAAAAAACTGTGTATTGACTTTGGAAACCATTTTGTCTACGGGTCCCAATAATAAAGTCAGATTCAAAGCTATTGACCCTCATGAAGAAAAACTGCTGAAATGTTTAATTGTATAATCCACAAACTGGGAAAGTAAAAAGATAACAGCATCATTTGGTGAATGAGGCGAGTTACACATTACCTTTAAAGTTCTGACTTCACAATGCAGATCGTGTAACACTCTCACTGGAGGTTCATCTTCATAGTCTTCATTGTGCATGTTAACAAAAACAAGTTTGGAAGAAATACAGAAGGATCGGTATCTTTTTGTCACAATATCTGTAATCTCAATTATTTCTACTATGTCTGTAGGCTTCTATTAAAGTCAACATACAAAAACAAAAAAGAGCATCAAGCATGAAATCATTCATCAAATCCAGCATACAGCACAAGACTGCAGCTAAATCAGTGTAAAAAGCAAAGACGACAGAAACCGACTGGGATCAGATTAAGTCCACTGTTACTAATCCAAATATTGGTAATACAAGTGACTGAGACTACATCGCCAGAAACGTCCCTTGAAACATGGAGCAAATTTTCAGTTCAGATATTGAAAAGGTGTTTAGATTGTTTTTGTCTGTTCACCTGCAGACAACAGGACATAAACACCAACTTAACTGACTACTTTTGTAGGCAGACCAAGGCTAGTGTCTTCAAAATCAGTTCGTGCATGTTATACTGGAAATAGAGTTAATGTGCGTACGTGAAATAAGAGGGAACAGCTACTACGAGCGGAGACACTGCAATATACAGAGCAAAAAGCTGATAAGTGAAGACTCTTGAAACAAACGTGCAGACAGACTACAGAGGAAGAGAAGAATGCATAGAGACAAACAGCACGCGGCAGCCCGGACCCTACTAACGGTCTTCTGAGGAAACGGAGAAGGTGAGGAGAACCGACTGCCCTTAGACCTCGGAGACAACGGCGCAAGCGGATATGTACAAGGCCACAACGCTCTAACAACAATTTAGACGCTAAAAACAAATCCCCACCAGACCCCTGGCTCAAAGCTTCTCGGTATTATCAGTCATCACAGATGAAAATACGCTGCATTTCAAATACGACATTTCCACGCACTTGGTGCGAGAATGCACCGGCTCAGTGGAGAGCCAACCTTTTTCGCGGAGGTGCCACAAGTCAGCCCTACCCTCTCACCCCAGAGCCACTCCCTTTCCCTTACTCCACTTTCCTCTCCCTGCCCCTCCCTGAGATGCCACATGCCCCGCACACGCGGGCTGCCCGCGGCACTTGCGCTCCCAGGAGCCCCCTCTTGCCCCACCCGCGGCCGAGCCTCACCACGCTCCTCCCGATTCAATGCCCGCTCCAGCTGCCGCGTCTCCCGCTCCAGCGTGACCGCCAACTGGCGCAGACCGCTGAAGAAGCTCCCGGACACGCTCATGACGATGGTGGAGACCAGCGAGCAGTTGAAAACACAGAAGCACCACTCCCGCCCGCGGTTTCGAAACTCCGCGAGGACGTGTTTCGTTGGCTGCCGCGAGGCCCCGCCCTTCCGCGCGAGGAGATGACGTGTCCGGCGTGCGTGGCGCCATCTTGTCCCGTGCGGGGTCGAACTTGCTGTTGAGTTGGGGCTGGGGCTGGAGCCAGGGTTAGACGGTGAGTCTGGGCGCTGTGTTTCCCCTCCCTCCGGGCGTGGGAGCCAGCCGACCGCTCCCTGGAGGCGCCGCGGTGGTTCAGGCGTGTCTGCGGCTGCAGTCGGGCACTTCCCCCGGGGAGTGGAGCGGGAGGGCACGGGGGAGCTGGGGAGGGAGCGAGGTCTACGCTGGGCAGCCCCGCGCCTCCGCTGTTGCCCTTCTGAGCCGGCTCTAAGGAGCTGGAGCCGACGAAGAGATTAAAGGTGCATGTTTTGGCTTTCTAAGGTGCCATGTTTCTGAGCCTGGCCCTACTCCGCAATAAGATTCCTGGGAGCCAATGGATTGGGAAGTACAGGCGGCCGAGGAAGGTGACTCTGGGCATGAAGACGAGGATGATTAGGAGACTGGAAATCGAAGCAGAGAACCAATATTGGTTGAGCTGCTCGTATCTGACAGCCAAGGAAGAGCATAAGCATAACACCGAGTGGCGACAGGCACGATGGGAAGCTTTGAGAAGCAGGATCGTCTCCAACTTCCCCCCACACAAGTATCTTGGGGATCAGTTGAATCATTTAAATGTGTCCAAAAAATGGACAGGAAGTTGAGCGATGCAGCCTGCTTTGTGGGAGCACGCTTACGCTGCCCGGCCTTTGGGTCTGGGACGCTTTGTACCTGTCCGAAAACTGGGGACAAAGATATGAAAGACCTGAAATATCTTGTTAAGAGTTACTGAAATTAAAACAGATTCCTTCAGAAACGATTTGTTGTGTGTGTGAAGTTTAATGGCCAGATTCTATACTACAGGTTTCCCTCGATTTATGCAGGTTCTTTATATGCAAATTCACTCTTTTGTGATGAGCATATTTAGACCCGTAATTCATTTATATGCAAGGTAAATTCACTCTTTATACGATAAGCACAGATGCCCCCCTGCCCCAAGCAGGTAAGTCTGTGGGGGCAGGGGAAAGGGCCATGGTCCCACTTGCCCCAGCCCTGGCTGCAGCGGCCCTGGGAGCTGCTGGCGCCAGCTGCTCCTGGAGCTGCTCCAGCACGGGCTGGGGTGAGTGCGGACAAACAGAGATGTGGGCGGCGTGGGGCATGGCACTCACCCTAGCCCCAGCTGCAGTGGCCCCGGGAGCTGTGACGGCACAGTGCAGCCCAGCGGCTACAGGGAGCTGGCATCAGCTGTTCCCAGGACGGCTGCAACGAGCTGGGGTGAGTAGGGACAGGCAGGGCCTTGGGGGTGTTTGGGGCATGGTGCAGCTCAGTGGCTGTAGGTAGCTGCGGCTAGAGTGGCCCCAGGAGCAGCTGAAACAGGACCTAGCCCTATTTCTTACATTATAAAGTGAGTTTGCTTTGTGCAAATTTGATTTATGCAGTATTCTCCAGGAACGCATGTACTGCATAAATCTAGGGGAAACCTTTACTTCTACTTGATGAAAGGTGAGACTTAGATTGCCCTCAGAGTAGCTTCCAGATGGAGGAAAGATCATGTTAACCTGAATCCAAGACCTCCCTGAATTTAAGATGATGCCCCACTGTGCATAATTAGATTCTATATGTGGACAACTTATGAATTTAATTAGATTCTAATCATGGAAAACTAATAAAGGATAGTTTTGAAATCATTTCTACCACTGCAACTGGGAAAGCTGTGCTAGTGGGGCAGGCACAGAGGAAGAGTAGGCAGCTATAACAAAACCAGGGAGGCTGTAAGTTTGGACTGAGTTCCCATTTTGTTCGTTTAGAATGGGAAGATGTGACATCTGTTCTTGTTATGAGATGTAAAATAATACTTTAAGATTGACGGTGTTTGGTTTTCTGTAGGAATCTGTAATTCTTGTGCACTTCAGATTATCCCCTTTTCTGACAGTCAGCTGTTCAGACATAAATCACAGGTGAGGACCTGCTAGATTTCAAGAGCAGTCTTGTGTCTTTTATCTCTCAATATTTTGCAACAGCTACAGATATCTTAAGGAAAGTGTTGGTTTAGAATGGCTTTTTCCAAATGGAAGTGAGCATGGTGTATGCCTCACTTCAGTGTGCTTAACCATAAAGTCCAAAGTATTGTCACAACCCATTTGCCAGAGGAACTTGAAGGGTGGCTCCGTAAATCTCAAACCATGTTGAGAGCCATAAATTACTACTTGTTGAATTTATGCTCAACTTTTTAGTAAAATCTGTTTGCAGCAGAGTAGTCACCTGTAGTGGGATTCAGGGACAATTTTTTCTAGGATCTTACTTTGTATCTTGATTACTATATCATCCTTTTCTCTGGATGACACCTGCAAGGCAAGATTTCATTTATCTGGCAACAGTAGTGATGCTAAGACTGCTTTCCTAACCTATTTTTTTCACTATGTAAAGTGTCTAAGTGCATCTCTACTGCCTACCTTCTGTATTGCAAACCCTTCACAGCCTGCCCCACTCTACCTGTTATCTCTTGTTTATTAGCAAGAGATCACCTTCTCTTGGATGCCAGCCTCCATTGCTCATTGTTTGGAAGAAAACAAGAAAAAGTTGTTTAAAAATCCGTTTTGCCTTCTGCTCTCACTGCTGCTTAAACTCTTGTTGAGAAGATTTGGTAACTGTAAGCTGGCAGTGTCTTTTTGACTACCACCCATTATGCCAGGGGTGGGCAAAACGCAGCCCGTGGGCTGGATGCGGCTCACCAGGCCATTCAGAACGGCCTATTCAATTTAGAAAGGTAATATTTATCTGCCTCTGGCTGCCTGTCGTGGCCCTCGATGGCTTGCCAAAACTCAGTAAGTGGCCCTCCGCCTAAAATAATTGCCTGCCCCTGCGTTACGTTAACTAATATTCTCTTTGTGCTCCCTTGGCTGTCATCTCACGGTTACAATGGACACTTTCTGAAGCAGTTAAATTTGATTTTATTACTAGCATTGCCAACTGATAACTAGGCTGACTTCATTGTGTTGGATTTATAATTGATAGCTACCAGGCTCCTCAACAAATCAAAGGGGCTGAATGCTTTCTATATTTAATCTAACTTGATTCCAATTCAACATTAATTTGAAAATTCATGGACCATCAACTTCACTTTAGTCTTTTAAATACTTTCTGACTACATCTCTTAGTGGTTGGAATTTTTGTGTGCATTTTTTTTTGTGTTTAGAAAAAGCTTTGTATTTTACCAGTCAGTTATTATTCTTTTCTTCCACTTATTATTTGCTTGTGCTACCATTTCATCCTGTCCTTGTCTAATTCAAATTACAAATGTTAGAAGGGAACAGCCCATTTTTAAGAAGCCATAATTTTCTACACTAAACTTATAGTAACGCTAATTATTTAATAATTCAACTACAACAGAGAACAGTTGAAATATACTTCCCTGACCATTAAATAGAATTCTGGACTAAACCAGTATAAGGTGGATGAAATGCATTTACAGGCTAATTCTAGTGTTTAAACTGGGTTTGTATTCATGAAAATCTGTTCATTTACATTTGAAAAGCAGTGACTGATCCACTGCCACTTCTTATAGGGTTATATTCCATTCAGAGAACTGAAGTCATCTCTGCTCTGACCAGACTGTCTCTCAAAACAATTTTACAGTTGTCCCTTAAAAAGAAAAGGTTACATGACATTTGCTGTATTAAAGGAGTTCAAATAGTCTCTCAAACTGGACTGTTTGGGATATAAAAATTATAATTCACTATGTTAGCATCTACTAATTCTTGAAAATGCAGCATCAGATTTTCCTTTACTTACTTAAACAAGAGTGGGTTGAAAGGTAATACACTCTTGGGCTCATGAAGATTGTAAATGTGGGAGAATAATCATCAGTACCATAAAGCATACCATACAAATTCCTGTCTATTAAAACTATAGAAGGAGATTTCCCCCATAAGCTTTTCCATTAGTTAAAAGAACATGCTGTATGCTTTACAAAACACATTGCATTTAAACAATAACCAGAATATTTCACATTCTTTATTAAGTTATTCTTGCATTCACTGATATAATAGTTTACCACTTTGGGAAAAAAGGACCTAGAAAGGTGCAAATTTTGCCTTAAACTTGAATGTATTTCAGATAAAATAAGAATGAAAGTCTGAATCTTGATTTACAAAATTCTGAATGCAAACACTCAACAGTAAATAATGGTTTAAGATTACATTAGTGGAAAAAACCCAACACATACAGGGAGGTTATAAGCTACAGTTTAAAAAAATATGAAGGAACTTCAGGTAAAGTGATGTGTCTTTGTATTATTTACTTCCTTTATAAAAGCCCATTAAAAAAATTATTTCAAGTATGAAACTATAAATGGCAACATGTTTTCTTTGTGCATAGGAATATTCCTACCTGCAATATACAAAAAATACAGTAAGTATCATTTATTACATATTTATCCTTGTATAATCAACCTCATACAGACTTAATACAACTCATTGCAAGTTTATGCAGCACAATAAAGACAACTACATAAGTGAAATGGTTGCAGACACCTGAACTTTGCCATTACAGTGCAACGGAGATGACATTCACTGGCAAATACACAAGCTGGAGTAATTGCAGAGATATCTAGTTTACATAATCAACTGATTTAAAATTGGGGCAAGCTTTGAATTGGCAACTAGCATCTTCTTCCTGAACCAGATGTGGATTGATCCTAAAAATACTATGGCAAGCCTTAGTTTCCTCAGAATACCAAACTAGAGCTGATGTAGGAGGGCAAGTGATCAACAATGAGATGTTGAACACTTTATTGAACAGCAACAGTAGGAAATCTCCAGGTGACCATTAATTCTTTGGTGCCAACAGGAGATTCCAATACTTTGTTCCCAACACATCTGCATGAGTGCCAAGCACTCTTCTTAGTTTCTGTTGGAAAAACAAAAAAATCAAAATTTTTGAAAACCAAGTAATATTAAACAATCTTGTAAATGTGGTCACACTTTACCAACAGAAACAAATTCAAGTAATACTGCACAATATCACTGTCTAGTCTAAACTAATGTCAGTTTGAACAATCAGCTCTAAGATGAACTATAATTATCATCTGCATTTTATTACATATTGCAGCATCTGTGTATTAGAGAAAATGCATACAAAAAGCATCCCAAATACGTTGACAGAAATGAACTTAGTAAACCTGTCTGGTATTACAATAAATAACTATTCTGCAGCTGCTCTTTGGTATCATGTAGTGATACAGGAAGTTCTGAGTGTTGAATATTTAATTAAATTTCAGGCATTATGAAAAGTTCTCTGCCAACCTGTGTTTAGAGATTTTTCAATAATGGACTTATTTGGATTATTTTTAAATGTCTGTTTGAATCCCTAAAGTATGCTTGGGTTCTAGATAGCTCAGTCTTCATATAGGAAAATATGCAGTCAAATTTCAGCAAGTTACTACAGAACAAGTGAGGGTGTGAATTTACAGTGTGCTAGCTATTCTGCAGTACCCTGCGCATGCTCTGACCTGGGGGAAACCAGAGGTAGCTAATCTCACTCTCAGCAAGGGGAAAGCCACCTTGCATTAACCACCTTATAAAGGAGGTGCTCACAGGTACATCTGACATAATTTATTTGCATGTCTATACCCTTCATATTCAAAGCTATTTCTTGGAATTTGGCTAGTCACTGCTTAGATTGAAGAGTGATTTCACTAGCTTGTGTCTCTTTTAAATCAGATGCACATGTGGCTGGTCAGCATTAACCTTCATCCTTAACTACAAATGCAACTTTTGTTCCAGTGTTAGGGCTCCAGATGACTGAAACTGTACAGTATAT